ACAAAACTCTCAAAGGGCGAAAAGCACCGGGGAATCGATTTAATAACGGAGCAGAAATGCACAGAGAGCCGGTGGCCCACAACTGGAAGACGAACTCTGGAACCTCTTCAACAAAATCGTCAAAACCGGAAAAATCACAAGACTGGAAAACAACCATCTGTGCAATTTTACGAAAGGCGGCAAAAGTAACCACGACAGCTACAGAGGGATCACACTGAGTGCTAGCACGGCGAAGCTATTCACTAAAACCATAGCAAAGAAAATAAACACCAACATGCCATTCAGAGATGAACAGCAGGGCTTCAGAGATAAAAGCGATCAACAATACCAAGATGCAATCTTCGTCGTTAGAACAGATCGTGGAAAAAGTCGATCGAGTTCGCAAAGCCCGCTAGCTAACCTTATACTTTGTGGATCTTATACAAAAGCATTCGATAACATACACGGTATCAGACGTAGTCAATGTACTGCCTAACAGAAGAGAGGGCAGGCAGAAAACTAACAAACATCATAAAAGACCTGAATACAAACAACAGAACAAGGTTACAAGGAGCCTTACACACATATCGGAAACCGTCAATAACGGACGGAATCAGACAGGGAGACAGTATAGACACATTCAATCTAATCATGGACAAAATAATAGGCAAGTAAAAACAAATAAAAATGGCGGATACCGCATGGGCCGAGAATACGCATCATCACTATATGCGGCGATCCTGCTTATATTGAAACAGAGGACGACCTACAACGACTGCCTGCAAACCTTCGCCCGCGCAGCCGGGATTACAACCTGCAAGTATCGCGGAGAAAACGAAGTGCCTGGTAAGCAGTAAACACCCCATTCGTGCAAATTACAACTGAGTTTCACACCATCATAGAACGGGTGATATGAGCTTCAGCGCTACCTGGGGGTAGAAGTGACAAGCGATAGACAGCTCACGAGGAGGTTGTAAACGCAGCCAACAAAGCGGCAGATCTCGGGCGCGCTAAACAGCATCATATGGCGCAATAAATACCTATCGCAGGAGGCAAAAAGCCCGGGTCTACAAGACCGCGGTCAGGCCAGTTCTCACCTACGCTGTGGGAAACAAGGGGCAGACACCGCCATTGCAAACAAATATATCGCACAGCAGAGATGCGTACCCTACGCGCTATCAAGGGAGTCACGCACTAAGACCATGTCGCAGCCACGACATCGGCAGGAGCTCGAAGTACAAAGATATCGCATTTGGGCGAGGATTAGACGCCGACAATGGAGGATCACGTGGAACGCATGACAACTTTGTACGCATAACACATTGGGCTATGACCGCAAAACCTAAGAAGACAAGACCGCTCGGCCGTCCACCTAGAGATGGTCCGACAGCATGACATTCAAAATCCCAGGAGAACACTGGAGAGACTTAAGAGAACAGGCAGACATGCCTATTAAGAAGACAGAAGAAGAAGAAGAAGATGTTAATTTGTCAGTAGGTTGCGCTGTTGCAGATTAAAGTGTGGCGGTCTCGCCGCCTCGGTCACGCCGCCACCGGCCACCAGCACAAGCAAGCCGACTGAAGCGCCAGCCAACGCAGCGACCAAATCCCGCAAACAAACAAACACTCGCACACACTGACACACATACAATCACTCATACAAACAAACCTCCCTCTCTCTCGGGGACGCCACAGCTCTGGCGGCATATTATTATTTTCATTACAAGTTAGCTTTTGGAGGTTGTCTTCACTTTCCGCAACAATCACTGCGTCATCAGCATAACAGATTATTGAGATGTTTTTAGTGCCCATTGGGTACCCTTTGCCTTGTCTGGTTTTGATTATGATTTCGTCAAATACTAAATTGAATAACAGTGGACTCAGGGAGTCACCTTGCCTTATGCCTTGTTCTACTGGTATTGGTGCCGTGATTTGGTTATTAATCTTTGCTTGTACGGTGTTCGACGAATATATGTCTTCTATTAAGTTTATCAGGTTGTATGATACATTCCTTTTGTGTAGTATATCTACGACATCAGTGAGCTGGACTCTATCAAAAGCTTTCTGTAGGTCTATAAAACAGAGGTACGCCGGGCGGTTGTATTCTATTGACTTTTCCACAATCTGTCGTAATGCGAATACGGCATCGTTGCACGACCTTCCTGATCTGAAGCCTTGTTGCTCTTCGGCTAGTTGTGTTAGTGCGTTAATCTTATCTGTTATGATCTTGGTAAGAAGCTTCAGTGTGCTATTTAGTAAATTGATGGCTCTATAGTTTGCCGGATCGGTTTTCACTCCCTTCTTAAATAAAAGTATGGAGATACTTGTCCTCCACTCATCTGGGACTTTGCCTTCCCTTATTATTTTACGGAATAGTCTTGTCAACTCATGCTCCAAAGCATTCCCTCCATATTTTAAAAGTTCATTATTTATTCCGTCCGGGCCTGGGCTCTTACGGTTTTTCAGTTTCTTGAGGGCAGTTGTGATATCAGTTCTTGTGAAGTCGATTCTGTCTTCCACTGTTATCCGTGGTATATTGATGTTCGGTGCTTCGTCTTTCCTGTTTTTGGTACAGTTCTGTTAGATATTTATGCCATGTTTCTATCGGTATTGAGTTCTTGTCTGACAGTTCGATTATTTCTTTCCGGGAGCTCCTTATTAATCTCCAGATTTGCTTTTGGAGCCCGTAAAAATCCGACAGCCAAACAGTTAAACATGGTCATATCAACGTCGAAAACAAAATGCATGACAACATCGAAGGTCCCAATACGATGCAAATTAGAAGTAGATGGGCAAGTCATTCAACAGGTTATGAATTTCAATTACCTCGGCGTTGAGATCTCGGCGTTCGGAGATATAGAAGCAAGCGTCAGAGTACAAGCCATGAAGGCGTCAAGAATTGCAGGTTGTCTAAACGGACTAATTTTTAAAAATAAACACCTGCATATCGACACAAAGGCACGCATTTATAAGACCGTCATTAGACCGATTTCCACGTACACAGCAGAAACCCGCCCTGTGACATCTACAACCCAGAATATACTTGAGAGCGTAGAAATGTCTGTCATTCGCAAAATCAACAATAAAACACTCCAGGATAAAGAGAGGAGCTCAGACTTGAGGCAATTATCCAAGATACAACCTATTAATAACTGGGTAGAAGAGCGAAGACAAATGTGGCGCAGCCATGTCGATCGAATGGACACTACCAGGCTAGTTCGAATAGCTCGAGACCACTCGCCTAAAGGAAAAAGGAGTGTCGGGAGGCCCAAAAAGCGATGGAGCGATCCTATAGCTCTCCTTGGCCGACCACAGTGATGGAAGAACAGGCAAATTTTGCCTATGATGAGAGTAAGAAGAAGAAGAAGAACAAGTTAGCTACGCATAAGAGACACAAGTCGAGTCGCAAGTTCCATTACTGTTGATTTGTTATAAGCGAATAAACAATCTAATCTCACTTATTTATTGCAAGGAGTGAATTATTGTAGTTTAGAACCCCAAACAACTACAAAAGTCACCATTTTTCAAGATCTTTTCGTGCTATACTTGATTAGGTTGGTAATGGTATGGAATAAGATAGTCGAATAAGCTCCCTATGCTTAAGCATTGAGTGGCAACCCGCTGCTTATCTCCACGAAGGATAGTTGCGTGCCGAAGGTTAAACTCCGAACACGTATAACGAACCCTTAGTGGAATAAGGAACTAGAATCTAGTTGAACTAGATGAACTTCGCATAAAATGCGCAATAAATATAGAAAACACATGACGTTTGAACGTGTGTTGGTCATTTCGTTCCAAGAACTGGAGGATGCGCAATTTCCTGTCAGAGTCGGAAACGATGACATAATTCATGCGAACAGTCGTGGCAATAATGAAATGGTGTCGAAATCTGGCGGGCTTATAATGCTAAAAGCAGTTGACTCCAGCTTTGAGGATGAGCAGATGAATAAAAAAGAAATTAAGAGGAATTAATTCATTTTTGAACATATTTTAAGTCACTTATTAAATTTAACATTTAACATTTGTGTTTTTAATTGATAGAGAAGATTCATTGATATATATTTATGTTCACAAAAACGCGTACGAGTTTGTGAAGTTAATGTTTGTCGCTGACACAAAAGATTAAATGGCAGCACGCGGTGCCGCTGAAACACAATATGAAGTCGAAGATAAAATCTTCTCTTCTTAAAAATGTTTTTTAAGGTACATTATGTACATTAGATTTCACTTGGTTTATATATTCGAGATATTTTAATTAATTTCACTTGGTTTAATAAATAGTATTAGCGATTGGCACGTTTACTTCTCGTCGTTTCGTGTAACGCCATTAACCCACAATGTGTGGACAAGCCCAGTGTACAGAATTGCGAATCGACGAGAACGAAGTGAGAGATGTGAGCGATGTGGCGCGTTGTGACAAATTCGACAGCGTAGCAAGCGTGGCTGTCGCGTCGGGCGTGCGCAGATGTGTCAACTCCGGAAGTCATCACTGCGCAAGTCTTCAAATGATATTTGAATTATTTTACTTATTTTAAATATTTTCAACCTAAAACTAATAAGTTATTCTTCGTATACATGCGAAATAGTTTTATTTTAAATTATAATCATGACTACAATATGTGTGTGCACCCGCCACAAATAAGCACTTGATCACAGATTCTAGACAAATGAGCCTTCTATAGCCCTCTATGTCATTTGTGCACAACTAATTGAATGCCCGTTCGATTTTCTGTTTTATTTGCTATGTTGCCATGATGTCGTGGCTACGCTCGCAATTAGTACTGACGCCAAAAATATTAATCCAACATAAAATACATAGACGCCCTAATATTCTGTAATAATCGCCATTTTTATGCTGTTGTTTCCTGATTGATGCCAAAAATTATATAAAAAGTTGAGAAATAATAAAAGGAATGGGACTAATAGAAACACAAGTAAATATATAAACTAACAACAAGAATAGATGATTATAAACTCTTTACCAAGTACTAAATGTACAAAAAACATTTTAGACAAAAAATGTACAATTTCTCCTCTTGTAGTATTTTATTTCAGTGTGAATAAGCCGACATGGGTAACACTAAACCTAACGTTTATTGTACTACATTGTTATACAAGTGATTAAAATCATTTATAAGAAAGACTGCGTCAATCATGACCAGTACTGTTACCTACAATTTCCTTAAATTATACAATAATGTTCAGAATGAAGGCACAAATAATTGCGTGCATTTCGATAAGTCATACACGCATATAGGTTCGAGACATTGTGTTGTATAAATTACTTATGATTATGTTACGATTCATTTACAATTGCACGTGCATCATGTTGATTCTGTGCACAGTTTTTAAACGCACCCGACTAATTCCTCATCTACAAAGAGACATGTGCAGTTTCACCGTTTACTTTGTATAAAATTAACTGACTAGACTAACGTTAGACAGTTATTCTAAAACATGTATGTTTCACCTACTTAACCGTGTTGAGCACCTCAAAATTTAAAACGCAACCAAATAATTGTAGTAAATAATCGACTGTTCAAAAACTGGCCACAACCGTCGACCCGCAAAGATCCATTGTGTCCATCAAACTTGTTAAAACTAACACTTAGACTTTTACATTTAACAATAATCACATGTTGCAAATAAGTGCTTATCTGCTTATTACTATGGGTATTATTTGTATTTTCTGGTTCTGCAACTGCCCTACGTCGAAATTTATGATAGATTCTCTAGGCTAGAAGTGTGACTCTGCACCCGCGTCGTACGTAATCACCTTATACTAAGGCTTCAGTCGCTTGAAACCGGCGCCATCTTGACCCAATTTTAATTCTTCGTAAAGCGTGGGATTGACTTCTTGCTGTGCGGGCACGTGCAATGACTCCTGTTTCCATCCTGCGCCTCCCGAAGTAGCTGACACCGCGACCGCAACGCCATTCGACGTAGAGTCGTTTTGTAGTGCGGGACCCTACATTTTCATAAGAATAAATAAAAAACATACAAACATTTCAAACGTTTGGAAAAATATTTTCGAATATCTACGTCTGGTCCAGCCAGCAAGACACTAACATGAATTGATACTAGAATCAATAGTACAGAAGACCCGTGTTATATTACCTGTACGTGATCCATATTAACCTCCCGGAGGTAACTTGGATTCTCAAATGCAACGCCTCCCTGATTTTTAACACCTAGCATCTTCTTGGTGCGGATCAACCAGACTGTTCCAACAAAAACTGCGGCGACAAAGATGAGCGCCAGAATAATTGCCACCGCCGCTCCAATATTGGACCCCGACGTGCCGCTGGTCGCGGATGTAATATACTTATCACCCATTGTAAATCGAATGGGACGGGTGAGCACAGAAGTACCCTTATGATTACCCGCTTTTACGACGCAGTCGTATGTCACGCCGTCTTGAAGATCTGACAGCACAATATACATATTCCGCGTATCATTTTTCATTGCTGTTTTTTGGTCAGTGCCAACGACGTGCCAGAAAACACGATACATCTCCACTGTCTGAGGGTTCTTTTCAGGCAGGTCCCACGCTATACGCACACTATTTGTATCTGCGGCCTCGACCCGCACATTGATTGGAGGTCCTGGTAGCTTAGAGCGACCGTCGTGGAAACAACTCATAATGTGCTTGGTGTGGCTTAGGAGGCAGTCTTTACTCGTATTATTATCGAGAGATTCACCACGACACCAGTCGAGACATCTCCTTGGGACACCCCAGTGGACGCAGCAACCTCGGTGATCGGAACCATCAGCGGCGCATTTCATCAATTTGTCGAAATCATTGATACAATCCGGTTTATCGATGACGGCGTCAATGTCAAGGAAAAAGCTGCAGGCATCCATGCATGCCGAAGAGACATTGTTGTGTACGCAACATTGCATAATGTTACCACTGGTCTTGGTATTGGAGCCGCGGATTCTAACTGATACTGGCCTAGTGTCACGACCAAACGCATTCTCAGCGTGACAGTAATAGTCTCCGACATCCATCGCTTCAATATTGTGAATAGTAAGATTCATAACGTATTTATCTTCTTCATCGTGCATGCGTCGGAAAGCGATGTCATATTTTCCACCTTGAATAACGGGTGTGCGTTCTTCATGATTTCGCCAAAAAATCATTTTCGGTTCGGGGTGGGAATCAACCCTGCACTCCAAAGAAATGGAATCTCCCAAAGTAGCCATTGTTATCCCACCAGGTTTGATGTGAGGTCCATCTATAATATCAATCACAATAAGAAATTAATGAAATTAAGGCAAATTTTTGTTTCCCACATACAGCTAATCTTAATTTTCCTCGACGCCTGCATCGGAGTTCCATAGCCATTGTCGGCGTAACAAGAGATGTGGGCCATGTCCTTCGTCACATTGTGGATGACAGTGACCATATGTCTTGTTATCTCTTGGCGTACGAGCCGACCAGATATGTACAGAGATATAGTGGGCATAGGACGGCCCATTGCGATACAAAGGATTGTCATGCTGCTCCCTTCAATGACTAGATTAATAGGATGAACTGTTGGCGGCTGCAAGTGAATTACACAACATCGCATAAACTTATTGCAGTTCAACACGTTTGGTTTTATAAATCTTACCTCAACAAAAGCCGGGTAGGCTGGGTCTGTCCAAGCAATTAACGTTTCTGATGGCATACTAGGACCTTTCTTCGAGATAGCCCTCACATAAACAATATATTGTGTGTTGGGCGTAAGTTTCTCAATCATGTGCGACGTTACGGTTGTGTTGGTGATTAGGTAAGTGGTGTTTGCCATGGGTTTCTGATACAATTGATAAGTAATCAATTCCGAGGGATGACTAAACTCTGGTGGTTGCCAAGTGATGGTTACCCACGTGGCGCTGTGACTAGATACTGCCAGAGAATGCGGCGGTGACGTAACTCCTTGCGCCATGTCCACATCTGTAACACAGGCCCAATAAAGTCCCAAATTATTATTCATGTGACTTAACTTTACCTTTGCTTATGTTTAGCATGACGATAGAGGAAGGCAGAGATGTTCCGTGGGGGTTTCTGGCGACCACAAATATATGATAATTTGCGCCTTTGTCCAGATTCGTCAGAATAGTGGAAGTGCCCGTTGTATTTACTTGCATATTTGATTGAAGCAACTTGTTGTATAAGGGTGTTGAGTTAGTTGTTTTCTGATAGTAGACGACGTAATCGGTGATGTTGTTGCTCTCCCCGGGTGGTTCCCACTCTACGAGAACAGAGTCTTCACCAGAAATAACGGCGTGAAGATCGTCGACGGGGCCAGGTAGTAAATCAGTACCTTCTTCAAAACATTGAGCAATGTTACCAATATAGGGTATGCATGTAGTTGCTGTTATAGGTAAGTTGTCGACAATCACGCCGTTACAGATAGAGATACATTCGTTGGGAACACCACGGCGGCTACAGCACGCGCCGTGATTGCGGCCACCGGCCCCACAACGCAACAATTTGTGAAATTCAACCGCACAGACACGTGCCAATTGTTTGATGTCGCTCATTTTTGCATCATACGAACACAGCGGCATGCATACACTGCTGAGTTCCGCCGCCACGCAGCATCCCGTCACGTTGTAATTACTTGCTTCTTCGACTTGCTCTTCATAAATCTGAAATATAAACTATACGTCAATACGAATCTAAACTGTCATAAATGTCAAGAAGCACATAAATTATATTTTTCTAAATTTCCAGTCTCTATTTTTCGCAATTATTGGTAAATAATTGCCTTTAAAAAATGAGCATACTTAAGCCAATAAGTAAAGACGCGGATAAACGGTTAACCTCTGCTCAATTGCAGAAAAATGATAACACAGTACATTATGTTAGCAAATATGTAACTTTAGTGGAGGACAATTATGGAATGTTATTTGATAATGATAACCAACCGAGTTTTGTGAAAAGATTCACATGGACGAATCATAATAAAATTAGCGTTGCGGTGATCACCTATGGTGCTAGGATAGTCTCTATGAAATTGCCAGACCGCGGAGGTAACGTGGAAGAGATTGTACTTGGTTTTGATGATTTAGCAGGATACATTTTCTATGAAAAATACGATTTTGGGGCTACCATTGGAAGAACAACTACCAAACTCAACAAGTCAACTTATGTTGTGGACGGAAAACAGTACTGGCTAACCGCCAATGACAATGAGCATCATATAAGAGGCGGTGAACGTGGATTTGACAAAGTTAACTGGGTGCCCTATGTTAACGGGAAAACGCTTCAACTAAGTTACTTGTCCCCTGATGGTGAAGAAGGATACCCTGGAGATCTTCATGTTCGCATGACATTTGAACTTACCACAAGCGCTGAATTTCGTATTGCCATTAATGCTAACACAACCAAAGCAACACCAGTGGATATTAGTAATCTAACGTATGTCAACTTAGCAGGACATCAGGCGGGTGAGGAAGAAATTAAAAAACATGAGTTACTCATCAACGCTGGGTGCTATACTCAAACAGATGACAAAAATGAATTTCCTACGGGCAAAATTCTCAAAGTTATACATACCCGCAATAACTTTCAAACACCAGTTTTATTAGAAAAGGTTATGACTGAAGGTAAGGAAGCAACGTTTGATCAATATTTGTGCATAAATCGAGGGGTGGACCAAGGAGATGCATTCGTTGCTCGATTAATTCATCCATACAAAGGGCGTGTGCTCGAAATCTACAGCAATCAGCAAGGACTCAACTTTAACAACGGAGCTGAATTTCCGACGGGGCGTTTGAATATACCAACAAATGTTCTGCCAATTCTGAGACCATCACAATCCGATACTGATCTGACTGAGGAGAATGAATCCTTATTTGTAGTGATCGGGAAACTTGCGCAATATTTTCGCGATGTGATGAATCTTCCACAAGAAGAATATCAAGGATTCCTAAGAAATCTAATGAAAAAGTTTTAGATTCCAATCAAAGTACAAGTACAGATAGCATGACCAGTTTCTCATCGCAATTGGAACTTATTGAAACAGTTAGTAAATACGCCACTACGATTGATGCTGATTTGACTATGATATTGAAGCCCTTGGAAGTTCAATTTCTTAAAGCGTTTAAAGAACTTCTCCCGTATGTCACCGAAGACATTCCAGTCAATTTAATTAAGGAAGCGATTGATGAAATTTTAGTAATGCACATGAACGATGGCAGTACCTCAGAAAGTAATTCGTTTATTAACCAGGTATTCATGAATCAAATGCACTTAATGAATTCAATATACGAAGAAGAAGAAGAAGCAGGTGAAGATGGAGAAAGTTTTTACCCCCGAACAAGTGTATTCCGACATATGAAAGAAAAAAGGAAGAGTATAGTTAAAAATCAGCTTCAACGTGGTGTTCCAATGCCGGATTTCTACAAGCATGAGAAAATCGTAGGACGTGGGGGAGTAGTGTACAGAAAATATGGTGGTATAGCTCTGCAAACGCAGGGCTATCCAAACGCGTTGCAAAATCCAAACTTTCCGAGCTCAATATTGAAACCCACCGAAACATACAACCACACTATAACCTATAAGTTTTGGATACTAGCTAACAATCCTGCAAAATGGCTACGTCGCGTAGAGGTCGGCCCATGCGTTGACGTATCAAGTCTCTCAAGTCATGTGAGCTCAAACATCAGTTGCTAGTGAAAAAGAACACTCACCTTGCTGCTGGTTCGGAAATTGAAACGCGCGCTCGGTTCACCAACGCCGTGCGTGTTTACAGCTTCCACATAGAATTCATAGTTGGTGTCGCTGGCGAGTCCCTCGAGCACGTGCGGGCTATGCACCCCGGAAATTGTCTTGTAATCCGTGTCATAGGTAGTCAGCATTCGGTAGTGCAGGTTGTAATTCACCACCGTGTCTCCGAGTGTCTTTGGCGAAGACCAATGCAAAATTGCAAAGTCGACATCGATGTTGGTCACGTGCACGTGGCTAGGCGAACTGGGTAATACACCGTAACCCTGCAGCAAGCAATTTGTGTACTCGCCCATATAGCGCAAACACCTGAAAACAAATATGACATTTTTGCTTTAAATAAAGGCACTCTGCACCAAAATACACTCTGTATCTTACTTGAAATAATTAAAATCGATGCTGGTGACGTTTCCAGTGCAAAGCAACTGGCAGATTTCTGGCAGACCTCGTGCGCGACAACATGGCGTGTGGTCGATCCCATTTGTCAAACAACTGAATGTATCTGCTGCCCATGGCGCGCAAATCATCAAGTCAGTAATTTCGGCAACTGCGGCCATTGCAGGATCACAGAGTTTGTTCAAGCAAGTTTTATGACCAATGCCTTTATTGGCGCAGCATGCCCTGATGTCCGGTAATTTGGGCGACTCGCCGACCGTAGGCTTTATATTACCCAGCGTGAGCGTCAAGCTGCGCACACGACTCGTAGGTAAACTAGTACCATGTGGGTTGATGCTCGTGACAGTCACTTCGTACATAGTGAACGGGGTAAGGTCATTCAGAATGGTAAAATTTTGGTTACCAGCCACGTTCACCTGCACCATGTGGGTTTGCATATATTCAAATTCGGTGCGGTTTGCTTCATTTGGATCGAGAAGGTGCTGATCAAAACTTCGCAGTGAAGTTACATTCACGGAAAATTCGGTGATACTTTCGGCATTCGTTTCTGGCATGCTCCAAGATACTTTGAGAGATTTTTCGGTGAGGGCTTCTACATCTACAATTGCAGGTGGACTTGGGAGTAATTCAACACCCTCCACAATACAAGCCAATGTTTGCTCGGTATACGCCGAACATGAAAAATGCGTTTTAATATTGTCGGTGATTGGGGTGTACTCGCCTCTACAGACGTCCTGACAAATATCTGGGACTCGTTCTTGAATGCAACACGGCACGTGGTTCCTTCCGTCCGCCATGCAGCGAACAATACTAGGGAAATCCGTTTCGCAATTTTCCGGATCTTGGCCCGTGCTTCCTGAAAATTGTTTTAATAATTTACAACTTGTTTTATTCGTATTTTTGACCAATAGCAGTACCTTCAAGGATACTTTGAATGTTGCAAAAGCCTAGGCACGCCTGCGATACGTTCCTTGAATTGCAGCAATCCGTGTAATTGTGCGCTCTTGGATTGAGTTGAGATTTGGCAGCGTCAATAGATTCAGTAAAGTTTTCTGGTGGCGGTAAGGCTTTCGTTGTTACTGAAAATGTAATCCAGTTATGCATGGTATAAAATAGATTTGGGGTAATTGTGTTCGGCGATATCACAACATCACATAAGATGTTGTCCAAAGTTCAAAACCATTGACACTCACCACTGAGCTTGTGGAATGACCGTACGATTGGATTACTGTTTACTTCGCATACGTACACGCCTGAGTCGGTAGGTTTCGACTTCTTTATGACAAGCACCCAAACGTCTCCACCAACCGGAACTTCTTTCATTTCCTCGGATCCTTGCGGTACTAAAATCAATAGATAGAAATAATAGGAGTGGAATTTTATTTGTAGTCAGGCAGCTACATTCAAGACGCCAGAAAATGACGAGAATAATGAATCAAAAATAACCCACATTTATTCATGTATTTAGACTCAAAGCTATTCATCAGTCAACGAACGCATTTCATTTAAACCATGTTTCATTGTTCTTCATTTACTTTCAATTAATTGTTTTTGATCCTAGAATAAGAATTGCACGCGCACAATACGATCGACCAATGTTTAATATGACTGTAACCATCGGAAATTATACTGGGAACAGTCCCCGGTTAGCATGCAGGTAGTTAATACAGAAGCAATTTTAAGAGGTGTAAACTGTAGAGTTTAGCATGTAGTGCTAAGGGGTGGCGGCAAAATCTAAAAATTTGCCGAGGAATTTTGAGCCTTGCGCCCAATATAAATTCCGATAAATTCTTCGTCTATCACATCACATCGACGCGCATCGCCATCCACTGTTCGGCAAGGCGGTGCTGAAACTTTTCAAATAAACGTAGCGTCCAGGGGCAAAGAGCGCGGAGGCTGGAGATACGGGTATTGTATACGATCGCGAACCGAACGAATGAAGGGAGCGGTTTAGGCATCAGTGTTCTGGTCCAGAAGTCGATTTGCGGCTGTGATACATATACATGTACTTGTAATTGCATGAGAAGCGACGAAGGAAGCAAAAGCAGATGAACAACATCACGAAGAAGCATTAAGTGAGCTGTCCAAGGTTTACAACATTTTCAAAACTTGTACTGGTTTCTTCCCCCACAGCATTTTATACAAATGCAGCGCGTCAGTCAGTTTTGAGAACAACTAGCAGAAGCACATGTATTTGCATGTAACTCAAGACTACGTACTGCAAGAACAATTGTTGCAATGTGTCCGATTAAATGCTTTCGGGCTGTAGTCTTACTAGCATTACTTGTTGAGCTTGACCAAGTCGAAAGCCGCGTTCATGTATTTGCAAAGTTTTTCCAAGTGCTCGTGAAAGGCTCGCCATCATGCAAAAGCCTTGTGGTGCAAAGTGACACGAATCGCGGGATAGACTACGAGGTGTACTCCTCCGACACCTTTCAACGCGTGCCAAACGTGGAGAACCTATACATCGTCAATAAAATTAATACATTGGTGCCAGGTGCGTTCCAACAACTCCAGCAACTGCATACTTTGAATCTGGAGGAGAACGACCTTCCGGAGTTGCAAGCGGGTGACTTCAGTGATTTGCAACTGTCTATCCTTGGTCTCTCCGACAACAATATTAGCTCAATAGAGGCACAGACTTTTGCGAATTCTTCCATCGACAGTATCGACTTATCCCACAATCGTCTCAGTGAGATTCCAGCACGCACCCTTGATGATGCCTTGCTCACGCAGCTGAGTCTCGCGGATAACCAAATCGCGCGTATTGCCGAACGCGCCTTCAGTGTCGGCCTGGTGCGTCTCGATCTCAGCGGCAATCGCATTCGCGACGTGCCCCTCACGATTTTCGAGAATTTATTCGCGCTGAGACATCTAAACGTCAGCCGTAATAAGTTACCGACGCTGGCGTCTGCATTGTGGTTGCGCAACTTGGAAGTACTAGACGCGTCGCACAACTCTATTCGGTTACTATTCAACGGCGCGTTTGAGGACTACCCAAAGTTGCGAGATCTACGACTGGATCACAACGAGCTGCTCTATTTGAATCCGGCGAGTTTTGTTAAGCCATCGCCGATCAAAGAGCTCAATCTACGGCGCAACATGTTAACGTTCCTGCCGGCTGATGCACCAGAGATATTTCCTAACCTGCGGAAGTTAATCTATGGTGGAAACCCATGGAGTTGTGCCTGTCTAGTGCCGGTCGAAAATTTTATTAAAACCGCTAAGATTCAGACGGATCCTTGTGAGAAGAACTACTTCACCGATGGCAAGCAGGCGGTATGTTTAACTGCATACTCCAGCTGCTTTTTCAACGAGACCCTCATCCTGCTAGAGCATCCAGTAATGTTCACCAGCCTCCTTGCTGGATATCAGTGTTGATCACACTTACCGCTTCCGCTTGTACTTTTCACTTCAACGCTTTTATGTAATCAAATAAACAACTTGGCATGCAAAACTATACCGGGATTATGCGTACCTGGATCGTGTAGCACCATGAAGCGCTTGTCAGCGGTGACGCTTTTGTCACCTGCGGTGAGTACCCTGGTACTGTGACGCTCCTTGTCTTCCTTCTTCCACATCACTGTGTTCTTGCCAATCTCCTTGACGACGCACGTGATGACGGCATCGTCGCCCTCACGCACATGCACCGGGTTAGTTAGGCTGTCCCGCATTGACGGTAGACCTGTAACAAGATAGCAGCATTAGTAGATTTGCGTTTAGCTTTCCATTGCCTAGGTGGTAGGGGGCGGCACGCCGCGCTCATAAGCGATATTAAAAATTTAAAACCCTCGAGCACGACAAGCAGGCGCTGGGTCGTGACTTTGAGTGTGGCGTATACTAGGCGAGCACGCGCCTTCGCATACACGACATTTGTCATAATATTATTATAAAAGCGTCCCTTTGCACTCATATTTGCGGTTCCGGTTGGGCGATATGTTCATCGTCATTTATCTTCAGCGCGTTTACATGTTTTGTTGCTCGTGTTGTAGGTACAGCGGCGAGCCCGAGTATACCATATGAAACGGTGTCAGCCAAGAATTAATGATTGCCGAATACATTTCCGGGAGCCATTTTTTATTCTCATTTCTTATTCTCTTATGACAACACACACACATTGCAAATTTCACATGAAATTGGTGAACAAATTGAAAATGTTCGACTTATAAAAATGAAAAATTATAAAACAGTTGCTTAAAAATCAATATTACAACAAGCAGCCACCATATGTTCAAGTGTTCGTCTGCTTCAAGAAGTGAGATTAACGATCGATGATTGTGGCCATATTTTTACGTTCAATCTTTTAGTTTAAAACGTATTTACTGAATGCAAAGCAAAAAAAAAACGACGGCTGTGCTTCAAAATCTGCTGTTGAAATATAACAAACCTAAAAAAATTGTTCAGTGCAAAATACACATTCAAAGAAGTTTTTAGTTTTCGTATAAGCTACGAACGCACAAATGTAATTAATCGTTGATGAAATAATTCATTAATGTGAAATAATTCTCTAAAGTTCGTTAAAAAAATCGCTTGTGGTTTTAAGTTGAATGCATACTAAGGATTATAAAATCAGGTTACGCGGAGTCCAAAATATAAGCGACAAACTCGTACAGTGTGAGGTTGGAATCGACTTAACGAGAGGCTTTGTACTTTTGGAACAAAACCGTAAAACGTAGCGTACGTCTAGGGGCGCGCAGAAAAGTTCCGTGTTCTAGGCGTTACGCCAGCCAAACGACAATACCCAGCACGCAATCGCGCGCTCAAAATTCAATATCAAACGTCGCCGTTGCGTTATATTGTCGCACGCGAAGCCGGTAAAGGACGGCAAGCAAGATTACAAGAAGGATTTACTGCTGGGGAGCCGAGTGTACATGAACGTCGCCACCGCGCCCGTGTGTGGGCTGCGCACGTAATAGTCTTGTTATCATTAACGACGCTCGCTGCTAATTTAAGAAGACATGCACACCTACTTAATGAAAAGGCGCGTCCTTCAGCGACTTGAGCAGCATTGTGCAAACTTTTCTTCACGCAAAGCGCGGAATTCCTCAAAATACAAAAGGGGTTTGCAGCGCACAATGTCGAGGGTGGGCGAAGTGCGAACCGAGCATTCTTTTGAGTTTGTGAAGCACAATATGCATAAACAGAAGCATTAAATGAATAAGATGCAAAAAATCTAGCTCGAAGGCATTCAAACTTCTTTATTCATAAGATCGCCGCGTTGCAGTTTGAGCGAGTGCCAGCGTGCGGTTGCCGGAGGCTGCTAGAAGATTCGGCGAGAAACGTTAAGTGATGAACATGCCGATTTGCATGATCAAATATTTGCCAACTGTGTTTGCAGGCGCATTGTGCGGTTTCAAAAATATGTAACTCCGGATTTTTTCCGACCAGCATTAATATGCGACAGGATAGCACGACATACACGCGCGCATTCATTCTCACACACACACACACATCGGAATGCTTTGTTGCATGTACTGCGAAAAGCTGGTTGAACTGGTTCATGGGAGTGCGGCTGCCCTACTACAAACAAACAAGGTAGACGATGAATGTTGTATCCAAGATTCAGCGGAAGAGCTCTGAGCGCAACTGCACTTGCTTGTATTCTTGGGGTCTCACCTTGCTACTGCATTTTGTTTCCCTTTTTGTTTGTGTTACAAAACAATAAATAATTTTTATGAAACAACTCTTAATATATTATGCCAGTAGTTTCCATGACAATCTACATATTTTTTTTTATTGAAGGGCTCAATTGTCAAAATTTCTAGACGCTCTCAAAGCAGCTTCAATTATAAAAACGAAAAAATTCTCTGTTTGGTGAGTAATAAAACATAATTATATTATTTTTACAAACCTATTTTGGTTCTAGGATTTCATTGTAAAGAAACACTTCAATATTATATTCAAAATGGCAAAATTTGGCCGTGATTCCAAAGAATTACATAGCGGAACATTTTACAGCAATCGAGATATTTTTCTAACCCAAGTATTTGGTTTATTCCTACTGGTGTTCATAATACTATGCCTCTTGAACGATATAGGATCATGTCGTTTCTGGAGCTGCAGAAAATTGTAGAAAAGTGGAAAATCACGGATTTCAATTGGCACAAAGTGATAAATTACATATTTTGAAAAAATGTTTTAAATTTAATTTGAACTAGAATTGTGCAATTTGCATATCGATAAACAGTAAAATGAATCTTTTAGTTTACCATATTATTTTCATTATTGGACGCCTGCTAGAAGGTAAATCATTAAATAGCTTTTTCTATTAGATGGTGAAGCATGAAGTATCAGTCTATTGTGGTAACTCAAAGAATGACCATATTTTGCTTAATTGTGCTTGGAATATTTTACATTTGATAAGAAATTCGAGAAGAAAAAAATTCAACAGAATATCTTATATTTTATTACCGATAATTTTCCGAGGATTTAAGCCGGCAACCCACATAATACATTCAGCATATATTTATTTCACATTATAAACATTACTCCATGACTAATGGTCAAGATTTCACGGTTCTCCAATATTTTCAATTCCACTCGAACACATTTTCAGAACCACCTCACTTATTGTATGTGATTTAATCACATGTATGGAAAAAAGCAAACTTAGTAATCTCGAAAAAAGGATCGAACACAAAGTAGTACATGTTTTGATGTTTATGCTTTGCACATCGTGCACCCTGCAAGTCCTGCCATTTTCATTTCCGCTGACCGGGCAGCAATCTAGTTTGAAAACAAGATATGAGAGCGGCGCAGGGTAGTCGCGTGACAGGGAACGAAGGTTCAGCACAATTGCGAGCTCCAGCGAGCACTTCCAGCAATGTGGCGCCATTACGGCGCGCGTCCAATGGATGCGAACATTTTTCCATAATTGGAGCGTTTGTTAGATCGTGCGGTAGATCGCGCGACAGAGACGGTGGGCCGACGATGCGCCCGGAATCATATCGGGCACTTCGAGATATAAACCACTTCAATTATTGACACCGGAAACGACTTTTATGTGATCGCCAATTTGTAGAATACCTTCCGATCGAAGCGACGTGCTCTCGGAGCGCAATACACCGCGTCTGGGGAGGTAACTTGCCGACATCTTGATATAATATTATTTCCTTCATGCGGAATTGACAGAAAATGGCTATCGGATGGTGCCGTTCCTAAAAATACATTTTGAAAATCTTAAAATTTCGTTCCTAAAAATCTTGATTTATGTTGATTGTTCATTGTAAGTACCAATATGCCCAATTAACATTCTGTCTTTTGATTTAAACGTATTTGTTTTTACACAACAGTTCCATATTAGAAACCCTAAAACTCAAATATTCACAAGGCACCTATTAATTTTTGTCTAATATAAGGCAAACTATAACGCATTATTTAAATGCTGCCAAAAAGTCAAACGTATCGAAACTGAGAAAAAAATAAACACCTTCAATTTCAATTTATATTTATAACAATTACAATTATAAATCAATTCTATGTTGAATGTGCAGTTAGTCGCATATTGTCGCATATATATTGGCGAGGGCGTGATTTGCGGCCTTTGTGGTTCCAAAGAGTATACATTTCAATCAAACAAATTATGCACTCATAGTGAAATATACTAAGCAGGACAGCTATATTAAATTAAATTATATTACCTTTCATTCACCACAATTCAATACACTTTAATCAAATTAATTTCTGCGCGCATTGTTGCCAGAACAATTTATTAATTTCAATCCGCATCAAGTAAAATTTGGGTACAACGAAAAGTTATTGATATATGTCAGCCGCTATGGATACTCTAATATTTCTTTCTCAATTAATTGTCATTGTTCGCCGTACCAAAACATATGCGCTCCATATGAAACGTAACAAGCTTCTCTAAAATTTGCTTGGTATGGTGAAAAAAAAAAACGGCAAACACATGCAAGTCAGACTTAACATTTATCACGTGACAGTCGTGCGCGTCGCTCTAGCATGAATTACAACCGAAATGGAATTCGTTTATTAAAAAGCCTTAATTAATTCCGAAAGGGACGTACATAATAAATACGCTGCGGCAAGCCTAGCGGATGCGTCGCCCGCCCGTGACATTGTGGAATCGTCCTTTTCTTCCTGGCCATTTATGCTTGCATGCGTGTGCGTGACTCCGACTCACACCTCTCAGGCAGCGAGCGAGCGGCTGGAGAGGACGTGAGCGACGCACGGAGGAAATCGCGCGGAAACACGAAAAAGCTACTGTTTTTGACTTTCATCGTTCTATTAGTAGAGAAATGACACGTTTAATCGCGTATCGGTCCGAGAGCATGCCGCCTCCCCGATTACTATGATTCACCGCGCGCTGTCTGCCACACGCACTCCCATCGGGAACCATGGCGGGCCGCTACAAATCATGACCGCACGCTGCACGGTCACACACTGTTCGGCCAAGAAGAGATAAATTAATCAACTAGGGGCCGGTCTAAGTGCGAACAAGCGAAGCACTCGATGTCGTCAGTTCCATGGACCTGACCTGTGCAATTTACAATGTTCAGATTCCGGGATTATCGTCTGGTTTTCCAAAGGTTTGACCAGGTGTGTGCGCCGATGCGGGTGTGCATGCACTGAATGGACTCAGAGGACAAAGACTCACAAAATGATAAACAAACATAAAAGGATTTCGTGGGTTATGAGCTTTGCGGGTTTGCAGACAAACCGAAAATATAATATAGTATTAGTTTTGCGTAACCTGGGGACCGAATGGTTTTTCTCAGTTTTCCGTGTATGTAACACTGAGGATATGCGGGCGTGCAGCCTGCTGGGAAATGGAATGCGATAAAAATAGTAATGGCAAATAGAAGCGCGGACGGAGTGCTGAATGCGACACTGTTAAATCTGTGGATCATCATTTGCGCGAGCGTCCTACAACGGCGCCGGATTAAAGTGAAATTTATACTCGGTGTCGGACGCGCGCAAACCTTTTACCCTGCCAACCCTATTCCTACCGCAAGTTGCACACACTTGTTTCCGGTGTGTGCTTCAAACGAATCGCAGTGGTCGCCATTAGCATTATCGCACCAAGCGCATCGGCATTCACCGGCAATCCGAAAATCTACTCTTCATATGGTTCACTTCTGGCAGCCGACTGCTGAAATTAACAGCTTATAAACGCAGCCATAGCAATAATGCACCCAATGTTTTGATGCGCAACAAAAACTAACTACTAAACCACACAACAACATTGTGCAGACGGACCTATCACGACGCATCAACGCATTAGAGTCGTTAAATTCGCTCAAAACTGGCACGGAAACACTAGTTTGCGCTCGCAACTCGGGTGTCGATTCGAAGAAAATTTATGCCGTGCGCATTACACTGAATTCGCCACGTCCACCGACTTCCTTCGGTAATTTGCGCAACGAGATTCGTTTCTCATACCAATTTGCGCATATTTCCTGTTGCATTCAATTGCTCTACTGATGCATCCACCATTCATGCCCGTGACAGTGTACTGAACTGAATCGTCTCATACGAGAGATGAAACTGGAAGAGAAATTGTTTACTTACCTAACGCGTTACTTACGCTTTAAACGGGTTGGCATGGTTTGCAATTGATAGCCAGTGCTATACGACAAATATAACTCTCGTACATCATGCATGAAATTTATGACAATTATTCGAGTACTCCGACGATATCTTTCTTCCGTCTTCATAGCATGGACTTCTTTCCTCTTCGGTATTTCAGCAAATAAGTTTTTTATGGACATATCATCGCAACATGCATGGGAATAAACGTGTCTCGCGCTTCAATGAGAATTTTGGCATGCAGGCTTCCGACACCATTCGTGGCAGTCCTGGAGTCATTTTTAGGAAAACAAAAAAATACGTTATTGTCTGAGTAAATCGTGTCCCAAATCGAATCAAGCAGATGCAATAATGGCACTCATTCATCAGTTTGATTTCATTGTTATCGTGATTCCTTCAGTTCAGTTTACACTTCAAGCAAGGCTATCAATATGCACCGCTCAAGCGAGAACAATAATGACGCGATTGCGTCCTGCGACGAATTGTAAATCATTGTAATTACAGCCGGAGCACAGGCGCTTGGCTGGCTTTTACTGACGATTACGGTGTTTTCCCTGAGCGGCCGACCCGGCGCACAGAGTTGGGAAAATACGTGCGGGAAATCGGAGCGTCTAGGAAGCGATGTGGAAGAAGCGCGCGGCGTTCGGCGAAGACGTACTCGCGTCCTTAAGCGTGCGCTGTTATTCTAGGTAACACTTATCTGCCATTATGCGCCAAAACCGCCAATATCGGCTAAAGGATTATAGAAGCGATCGGCTCAGCCGAGCGATCTGTTTTATTGCAATATCTGATTATATTATGAATAAGTAAGTAGCCGTAGGCAGAGGAACTCGCGTTGAGAATGGCGGGAAGTAAAAAGGAGCAAGGCATAATTTCATTTGCCACGCTCGATAAACCCATAATCACTGTTTTCTTTTCACTGGTCGCTCGACGGTACTTTGACGAAAAGACCTTCGTTTTGCGGATTACAACTGTTATTCTAATTCGATTAATACGCAGATTGTTCATCCAAAGAGAAAAACTTATTAACGCACCAAACGCTTTGATCAGCGCGTTGAAAATTTGCATCACATTGCAATCTTCCACAAGCGTGTAAAGCAGAAGTCGAGTTTTATTTAGATAAATATCATTAGCTCGCGCAAATATTTGCGTTCGGCAAGGAGGTGCACGTAAGCAAGTCGACGAGATGGAAACGCGAGCACGCGCTGCTAGCGTTCAGGTGCTTCGTTGCACAAAACCTCCACCATTCCTCAGCTGCCTCGGATGAAACCTGCGTTCGACAAACTTTATTTCTTGATATTAATGTAGCGCGCTCGTACGCCACTTTTATGAGTTTTTCTTAAAAACAAATGCGCCAATCCGTCGACGACGCAAATCGATAGCAAATGATATTCTTTGAGTGCATGCGAATCACTGGCCAAAAACAGAGACACGCTTGCAGTATCGAAGAGTGCCTGTTGACATGCCGGCGCGCGTTATTTATGAGCCTTCCGGATCCCAAGAAATCATTTTTCCGGCGACGGTAGACGAAACGACCGGTTGTAACCCGTCGCCTTGTGGCCTCATAATCATATTTTATTGTACCAGGCGTAGTCAGAAATAGAAAGGCGTTATCAACGGAGGCGCCCAGATTTCGGAACGAAATAAATGGAATTTCGGACAAAGCGGCCGAGAGAAAAATGGCAAAAGGATAGAGTTGACTTTTAGATCGCATGAAAAATGCACTCCTCATTGATATTGTCGGACGGGCGTTAAACATATACCATCATTCCTTTCTTCGCACTAAGCCGATCTCCGCCTGCCTGCTGGGTGATAATGGTTTTTAATGGTCCGTGATGGCTCCAAATGTCCGGTCGACAATCAGTCATGTGGGATCAGGATCTAGGATCTGGCTGTGGGGAATGCGGCTGAATATGTGATATCGCCTCGCATATTAAAGCTGTCATTTTCTTCGCATCCTCGTCGCCCTTCGAGCACTACTTATATTGATACCACATGTCCGTGGGGGCTGCGCCTTCATTTCCGTCGTTAGCGTGTCGTATAAATAGAACTTTAGGTAATTGTGGAATTCGAAATTATAGCGTGCGGCAAGAAAAAAAGTAATCTATAGGCGACCTATATAATTATAGTGTTCAGGGCCAGCGATATACATCGATTTTAGTGGCGTTGGTACACCACTCCATTCCTATTATTTGTTAGACGAATATTTTTCCCTTGGTTATCGAAACCCAATCTACGGCTTTCAAGTTTAATCCGCATGAAAACAATAAAGTTAAAAATAATAAAAATTTACACCAAGCGTAGTTTAGCATACCTACGCCTGTGAATCTTATGTTGGGAAATTGAAATTTTCCGAAGACTGAAAGGTGTTATAGATCTTCTGTCTGGAGTACTGCGGACATAATCCGACAACGTTTTACTAACCGACTTGATTTATACAATCGCGTTTCGTGCGATAAGCGATTCTCTCGTGTACGAATGTTGAGCAAATAACTTTCCACCTTTCGCCTCCAGTGCGAGTGGCGGCGCACGTCGGTGTTCACCCCTTAGCATTGTCCGCAATTCCAATTTCGACGGTGAAGTCAGAGTCGCCGAGTCGGAGTGCACAAAAGGGCGCCGAGGTAGGGATAGCTCGGCACGTTTATGAAGTCAGTGTGGCGTCGAAACGAAGTTAACCGAAATAAACTAAAGAGTGTCCTTCTCGCTGCTGCACGAATGACGGAATGAAGATTTAGTCGCGGTGCTAGGATACTAGTTGCGTGAAACCGGCAAAGTTCACGTTTTGGATTGACACAAAAGCAAAATTGGCCTGGTATTGAATTCATGAATAATTCGATTCGGACGGCAAACAACTATCCTGGCTTTTTGTCAGCAATATCGTGAGGCGGCGCGTTTAATTTGGCGTAAAGAGGGAGCAAATTTAATTACACGTAAATTCTATGTAGATGTTGCTTAGCTCCGCGGGCGACAGCAATATAGTTCTCTTCATTTGGTAGTCGTCTTGCTATCCTTCTTTGGTAGTTATAAAGTAACTTATACTAAACTGCTCAGATGCTAAGTCGTCAAAGCGCTCTCCTCGATTTCACCAGGAGATAAATGCATATTTGACACTAGTGCTCTACCTTCGCCTCTGTAATCACCTCCTTCACCCAAGACAACTTATTTTTTATGTTTTATGTACCTGATACTCCCGCTAATCTTTGATTCAACATGAAATTAAACACAAATGTTAATATGTTCCGAATGAGCTTTTTTGCGCTGTGTTGAACACGAGCCGAGCCGTGCACACACACATTTTTCTGGTCCAGCCAAACCGCTGCAATCTGCTCGCAACTGAAAGAAATTTCCTTTTTGTTATGTAAAAAGAAACGAGCGGGTTAGGTTCTCCCGACGGCGCCAGACCGATACTGATGGCCGTGAGCGCCTTTGTGCGTCGAGAGTGATTGCGCCCTGTTTGTCAACGTCGACGAGAACATAAAAGGGTATCAAGTTGGATAAATTGAAAACAGCGGTTCACACTCTTACTCAACGTGTGCCTGCTCGGCTCAAACCAGCCGCAACCGTTTTACTCGGCAATCTTTGAAGAAGGGTGATTAGTTTTTAAAAGTGTTGCAAGTTAAAGCGCAGGCGAATTGCAATGAACACGAATACATATTTCTCGAAATAACAAGAGACATTTCGACTTCTATTTTTTAAATTTCAATTTGGTATGAAAAGCAATGTTGAATGTGCACACGTGATTTAACTAAAAATACAAAATCATATTTTGATATTTCTAGTTCCACCAATAAAGCGCCAGTTTTCCACGGTTTTTAGACACAAAAAGTGTTACTACGAGCGAACTTGAATACTTTACTGCCTTGCATACTTTACTCACGGGCATTATCTACGGAGCGAAGCTTACACCTGCGTATTTGCCTACGCAGCAGCATAAAACCATATTAAATGCCATGCGCGGCTGCTGCATTTGTAACCTTACATTTCCCTGTAGTGTGTGAGTGAATTTCGAAGATTTAAAATACATTAGTTCAAATACAAAAACCTAAATGTGGAAATAGAGTGGAGTGAAAAAATATAGTGTAAGTATCACGTTATTAAACGTTATTAAACTTGATACCTGATATATTATCATAAGTTCAAGTAGATACTAAAAATAATTGATCTTTGAATTGCTGTCTATAATCAAAGTCATAAAACTTGCAAAATTGGACAAATTATACTTTTCGATACGCCATAAAAACCTTTAAAAAAAAACACCAATCACTAAATTTATACATACTTTTCAAATTTATCATTATTTAGTTATTATTGTTATTTTCCTCTGTCATTATTCTGTAATCTCACAGTGTGTCATTGTAATCTCAAAGTCATAAATTTGGTTAACAAATAAAATAGAAACTTTTTTATGCTTTTTATATAATACATGTAGTTTCACTCAAGATGGAAAATTGTGATGTACAGTAAAATTGTAGAAAAGTGACAGAAAATAACGCTTTTGTAACAATTTTATACGGCGGAGTTCTCCGTGCAGCGACAATGTGCGAGACGGAGCAGCGCCATAGGTGACACGCACAATTCGGAAGCGAGAACCCTCCACGGTCTCCATATTATAAGATTTTAACGTTGCACAAAACCAGATTTACGGCATATAAGATGTCAAAACAGGATATAAATTACACCTGTCGCTTGAATAATTTCCGCGGCGAGCTTGCAGACGAAAGCGTGCGCTGCGTAAACACTCTCAAATCCGTGATGCATTGCAACTATGCTTCCACCTCGATTTCTTATTTGTATCTAATCTAATTGATATGAGACGAAAAATTTACTATTCCCTCGGAAACTAATCGCAAATTGCAATCGGACCCCACAAGCACGCATCGTAAATCTCGTCTGATACGCAAGATACTTTATTTTATGTAGCAATTGCTTGTCATAAGGAAACGCTTGTTTGCTGCATTCTTTTGGCGACTGGCGTAGCTTCCCGACTGGCATAAATGGAAACGTTTAAAACATTACAAAAGCATCCGAGTATGCTCATGCATTTTCATTTTGCTTCACTTGTTACTTGGCGTAATGTTCAGCTATTTTCAAGCGTGCGGCCAAGGGTTACCAGCACGCTCCGGCGTCAGCAGTCCCGGCGTTGTGACGAATGATATATTATTTTGTTAAAAACAACAAACGTGCTCCCGCGTCTCGTTACGTCTCCCCGTCCTCGAGCAACGAGCGTTTATATAACTAACTACATGACGCAGCACTTGGATGGCGGATAAACGCCCGAAACGGACCGGAAGAAGAGGTTGAACGACAACTAAAGCCCGCCAGTAGACAACCGCCAGGAGTGTGATAGCAGTTTCGCGGCTACCGGGCAAGAATACGTCAAGAATACGGCAAAGTAACAAATGCATGCGGGAAGAATTATGCGCTTTACATTTTCGACCCAACGCCGAAAAGAAGATAAATAGTTGGGTTCATAACATATGTTTATTGTAAAATGTTTCGAAGTGTTTAGGTCCGAATGCTGGAGACGATGCATGTGATGGAGGGGAAGGGCTGCGGCGCATTCAAGTACCGTGCACGGACCGCGAACACCCGCGAAATGAGTTTAAATAGGACCAAAGTGAAAGGTAGACGAATGAGTGGAACTCGTGGCAGTGAAGCTGAATAACTTCGAATTGCTTTAACTCCTGCTTTTATTGCTCGTTACACAATGGTTGGAAATATGGCAGTTTTAAATGTACTGTTGTCGTGTTTTGTAGCCACCTCGCATGAACGCTGTTTTCGTGCATTTGCTGCCAATTTGTCAACGCCATTGCGCGCAAATCTTAAAAAACCCTCGCGAAATATTATGCTTTCTGTGCCTGCGTTTGCACTCGTTCGGACGGCGTCTAGAAAGTGCGGACCAAAAGCGGAACTTACTTTGAATCATGGTGATGCATAGCATCGTTAAATAAACAATGCCGAAGGGCTTCATGACGGCGACGCTTCCTCAGCTCCTCTGGACTGCCTTGGCGAAGAGATTTGATTGCGAACTGGGTTGCGGTGTTCAATGCTGCAAGCAAGCCGAGAAAAAAAACAAATTTAACACATTTTTACTCAGATTCGCTCGGACACAGAAAGAATAATGAAATTGTTGTGCCCCCGGCAAATTGATTAAAATAACTTGACTGTTTTAAATTCCGTACGAAGGATGAAATTGCTTTCCTCGCAACAATTCAACAAATATAATGTGCGAGTGAAACTTTGCGCGTACACATTTCAACAAGCGCGTCGTTAAAACTTTTGTGCTTTGTATGCGTTTTATGAATTTTCTCATTTTTACCCCGCATTACGTGTAGGTATAAGACACAACACTGCGAATACATTACTCCACACCAAGAGCACCAGCGCGAAAAAAATAAGCTGCAAACTCGCGCGCTCGGCGTGTTTTCAGCGCGCTTAAGCTTGTTTATTATAAAGAGCTTCTACAGTTCCGCCTTCGCTTGGAGAGTGCGGGGTTCGAGCTGGCCGCCGCCGGTTTCAAGTCATAATGCACGCCGGACGCGACGAGCGGTGCAATAACTTTTAATTTGTCAATACGCGCGAACATGCATTTCATTGTTTCGACTACAAATTGTTTTAATCAGGTTTACGATGGGTATTGGCGCACTAATAAATGAATTGTTTAATGTGTGCGTTGAATGTTTGCGCAGCGGAAACGCACAAATGATGTACCAATGACAAATTCGCGATTTATGTGCATTATTGCGTATGTACATTGTGTATGTCGAAAAAACAAGCGACGCTCCAACCAGAACCACCTCCCGGCATATTGCATAACAGCGTTACAATACGGCCGCAATCTAATTACTTGGCCTTTCGTCTTTCCGGTTGGTTATTTGCTCACCTATCTACCTGCATTTTTGCATTTTCAGCTGGTTACCGTTCATTGATTAAATCGATTCGAGCGAGCGCATAAAAATCACGTAATTAACAGCGCAAATGCCGGTTATTTGCGGGTTTATTAATTAGGAGAGATTTCAAACGATGTTACGTCAAGCGAATATTGCGGTCAATTTAATTCGATATCGAATTAACCGCGCGGCTCGAATCATTTGTTTCTCCAATAATATTTTTGCAGTGAGCTATTCAATTAATCCCCTGCGTGTAAAAATATATGCGATGTGAACAATTCTCAGTCGCTCTCAAGAAGAAAATTCTAAATACAGATGCGCATGTTCCGCTAGATATACGCGTATAGCATACACTTATCACTCCTCGTTTTCAACGTACTCTGTTATTTTTATTCGTTATCGTGCGCCTTGTCGTTGGTTATTTGTAGCAGTTTGTGTTATCGTCCAGTGTGCGAATTCGGCAAATATCTGTTACAGTCAGGCTGCTACGAGTGGCTGGCGCCCATCGAGCACAATACGCTATAAACAAAATTAATTTCGCGATAAAAACAACGACTCCGTGGAGTTTCCGAAAAGATTTGTTGGCAGCTCGACGTCGCGCACCGAGGCTAGTTAGCGCATATCCGCTCTTCCGGATTTTCCGCCTTATCCGATTGTTCCGCTCGGATTCCACCGCAAGCTTACCGTCGATCGCTTTAATTGAATGTAATAATCCCCTAAACCAAAAAATATAATTAATTATTTCTTTTCCTCTTTGCCGACCCATTCACTGGATGTATCTTTTTTTATTACTTGGGATCTTTTCACGCCAAAATTGCATCCAGAATTCCCGCTCATTTCTGCGAGTTACTAAGTCATTTCGATAGTTCCGTTGTCAAATTGTTAATAACATCATTGTCGCATAAATCGCCGTTTGATATTCGACCAAAACTTTCCTTATTGCGATTCCTTTGCGAAGCTATTGCATTCCCTCGACGGTTGGCAACGCATTACGCTAGAGAAAATAATGATTATCGTAAATAGAGTACAATGTAGACGCAACGAGCGCGAGGCGTAACGGAAAATCAAGTCGTGGAAAATGGAAAAACGTTCACAGCGCGCGGGCACGGCGCTATGCGAGCGAATTACCGAAACGTCCTCAGCCATATGAAGCAAATGTACTGTTAAACTGTTATCGCTTCGAACATATTCATATTCTCCTTTTATGCACTTGCGTCGAATCGATGACGGAGATTTTTATTATCTCGTTCTCGATACACTTCCTGCCTCCGGCTCGATAGTCCCCTGGAGAAAACAATTCGCAACAAATTGTGAAATCGTCGAAGACGTCAATCGCAATAGATTACCGTGACTGGTCGATTACACATTTCGTCCAATCAATGAAACGCGAGGCGGATAAATCGCGAGTGTCGCGGTGTGGTGTGGTCGAAAGAAATCGGGCATCGAACAACCCAGTTTCGCCAAGAACACAATCGTCGGGGACACTCTGTCCCGGCGTTCGTTAATTGGATGGGCTGTGAAAAAGTGAAGCGAGCGACCGGATCACGATGCTCGCACCAAGATGTATGAAAAGAAATTGGAGCAACTTTTCTCAGCGGAAAAACGATGGAACGCACAAAAGCAGCGGCGGCTGTGGCGGCGAGAATGAAGTAACGAAAAGAATTGCAATGTACACAAAAAAGGAACCGAGGAAGAGGATGTGGAAACTGGAAGCCAACGCGGTCGCGGCGTCACCGATGAGGGTATGTTAACAATGAAGTGGTTTGTGTTGTGTAGTTAGCACTGGTTCGTGACGTGCACTGAAGGCGCGAGCAATTGGGAGTATCAAGTGACAACAACTTGCAAAAAAAAAACACAGACGGAAGCGGAAGCGGGAGTTGATAGTTTCAACTTGAGTTTGAGCTGAGTTCGAGTCAGATTCCCGCTTTTTCTTGCTCGCTCCAACCGAGCACATCACCCCGAGTGAAAATACCATGCATTCTGGGAAACGTTCATTAAACCTTCATTTCTGTCGATGCTGAGATGGCTGTACAATATCGACGGATAGTCGGATGTAATAACCCGATGGTGGGTCCTGTCTATCAGTTCGCATTAATGCGAAAATCTGAAAGAAAATCAGCAAAACGGCGCTAACATTATAAAGCCATTAGAGCTTTGATATTCGTTGTGTGTGCACTCCTACATGAGTCAGAGGGCAAAAATTCAATGTGTATGCGTCAATCGAGGAGTGCCGGAATGCGCGGAATAAAAATAAAATTTCAGGTTCAAAAGTGAAATGAAAGTTGTGTGTGGTGCATGGAAGGCGCGTGTCCTGATGGCTTCGAATCATGTCGGTTGGATGATTACCTTCCCTGCAATGTGAGTAATCGGAGGTCGGCGCTCCAAAGAAATCGTACTAGAGTAATGCCGCAAAATATTAATTTTATGCGAGTGCTTTGTGTGCGATCTGCTTGTAAAAGGTATATATATTTTTACGAACGTCGCAGGAATTGAATTCCTCGTGAATCGGATGTGCATACGCCGCGGTACTTTCGATTCTCAGCCGGGGCAAGTTTTGCGTCGAATTGCGTGATATTAGGGGAAACATTTTCCTGCCGAAGCGACGCCATGCCGCAAATCATCCAACAACCAACTTTGGAATTCAAACGGCGGAAATATGAAAAAGGCCAACAATGGCGTCGAACAGAAGAGAATAATAGGTACACGCACAAATAAATGTTTTGATGCTGCAAGCGACAAAGCGCCGCAGCGCAGACAGCAATATCATTTATTTAACCAATGGCTTGAATAAAATTAAGAGGTACGATCTTCGCATTCGAAGTTGGTTTTGCTCACCCTGCTTTCATTTAATGGTAGAGCATTCCGGCATTCATAGCTCACTTTTCGCGATTTTATTATTATGCGATTAAGCAAGCCGCGTCACCAGCCTTCATTTCAAATAAAGCCTGCATTACTAAAGCAATTGAGCTAAGCAGCCACGAGGACAATGAAAGAAGTGTCTAGGGGTATATCTTCTTACCACGATGATGACGAGCATAGCATAGCATAAACATTCTAAAGAAATCGACGATTTATTAGCTGGATGCTTGGTTCAAATTTTGAGAATCAGATTCGCCCGTTGCAATTTTAGCCGCGCGTCTGCCTCAGAACGTTCGTAAATACAAAACGTGCGGATATAGGCATTCGTTGGATATGCACGAAGAACAAGGGGTTTCCAAGCAGAATATCAAAATGTACAGTGGGTAGCGCGTGGGTAGATCGGAGCTCGGGTCTAATTTAACTGCTCGATATATTTGCTATTCGAATTTCCGTTGATTAAGCCCAAAACGGAAAGGTGTGAATCAGGACGAGGGTTGCGTCGTTTACGTGTGTATATTGTTATTTGTTCGAGAGCTTTGCGGCGCGCAACTCGTGGAAAGGTTGCCGGCGTTTCGGTAATTTCGATCTCGTCAGCGGTTAACAAGAAGCAATAAGGACCGAAGCGATGAGATGTCGGCGTTTACGTGTTTGTCTAGCGAGACGAACAAACGTCGAGATGTTCACATTGTCAATTTGAGATGGCAGAGGCGCCGAGCGACCACTGCAATTGCGGCTGCAGCAACATGGATTATATTATTAATCACACACAACGGGGACACCACTAATTGATTTCCGAATGGCAATTTGTTGTAATCGCGTGCTCGGCTGCAACCGAATACACTTCCTAATGAAGCGGAGAAATCAATTCGAGGACGCGCGCTATCCAAATGTGTCAACAACAATTTTCGGCGCACCTGGAGACTTTCCAGCAGTTGATTTTCGATGTCTGTAGGGAATCGGGTAAACGACCTCGGTTGGCACGGTGGAACACTTGAAAATAGCGTTTCGAGAGGAACGTCGGAATGTAGAAAAATAAAGACTTAATATTTAAGAACACATGCACTCGAACGAAATCGTCGAGCGACGCGTTTTTGCAGACAGCAGGAGGGAACACACATGACCGCACGAACACGACACTCAATTCCGCACCAATATTCGGACCGAACGCATTTTATTATTCCCGAGAGTAAATGCCAAAAAGACCCCGCTTCTTGCGAATCTATCTCACATTTCGGCTCCCTGTTCCAACTTTTCTCGGGAATGTACGGCGCGCTCGCCACCACGCCGATAAATCTTAAAC